AATTATTCCTTTAAAATATAATGAATTTTGTGAAGCACAAGTCAAGAAATGTGGTGTTCTTAATTCAACCGCGTTTCTAGTATTATATCTATGAAAGTCACTTCCTCTTTCAATTCTATCACATAAATATTGAGGCAGAAACCCGTTAAATACTTTATAAATGAACACCATAGTCAAACATACAATTCTTTGCTTCACCGACAACCATTGTAAGGCGTCTAGCATCAAAGTTGAGGAAGTTAATCTATTACATCTCATTATCAAACGCATTATTTTATTCTGCAAGCGCTGTAATCTCGATATTTGTGTTGCATTGACCAGAAATAAAATGGAAGGGCAATAGTCTAGATGAGGAGAGATGATTGATTTGTATAGCTGTATTTTACTGGCAATAGTTAAATCGTTTTTCAGTCAACAAGGAATTCCATACTTCTTGGCAATTTTCTTGATGACATTGTCAATGTGACAATTGAACTTAAGTTTGTCATCAATAATCACGCCAAGATATTTAATCTCCCGAACGCGATCAATACTCGTTTAATCGATTCCGCGAAATTACCATAAATTTAGTTTTACTTGTATTCAATTTCAACTGCTTACACTTCAACCAGCTACTAAGAGAACGCAAATCTCCATTCAAGTGTAAAACGGCATCATCTTAATCCCTAGCCGCAATGAATAACACAGTATCATCTGCAAAAAGATTAATGTCGCAAAATCGTAAAACACGTCGCAAGTCATTAATATACATAATAAATAACAGGGGCCCTAATACACTTCCCTGGGGCACTCCAAGGTTATTTTTCACACGAGACTGGAAACAGAATCATTAAAAGCAGTCCGTTCAGTTCTGTCAGACAAATAGCTTTCAAACCATTTATATGCTGAACTCGTAATTTCAAAGCTCTTGATTGATCTTAACAATAAGGGCCCAGAAATTGTTTCAAAAGCGCGTTTTAGATCCAAAAAACAGCAACAATCGTATCTTTACACTCGAAGTTATTTTTCGACTTGCAACAACTTCCAAATTCGACGCGTTTTCACAATAATGACCTTCTCGATATCCCGATTGTTCTGGTATCAACAAACTATTACTATTTAAATACTCCACAGCTGGCCTTTAACAACAAGTTCTAAAATTTTCTCTAATGTGTGCAATGGGACGAAACTCTACGGCTTTAATCGTTCCAACAACTTTTTGAATAGAAACCACTAAGGATTCCTTTCAAATGTGTGACACATGTCCAGTTTGCAATGATTAATTATTAAGGTCCAGCAAGATGTGGCCAATGACATGAAATCAATCTTTAATAACTCTAGCATTAACATTAACATGCTTTATAGCTGCGCCTTTACCGACTGAGCTAAGGGAGGTCCGTGTACATGACATATACAATAAAACACTGTACATTTCTTTTTTTCATTTCAATTCTTATTAGGGTGTTGCCCTTCGTAAATTAGGTTGGACAAGATTGCCTTTTACATCTTATGAAGCACGCTAATCAACATTACCATGGTGTCTACTCTATCCAAGGAATCAAATTCCCTGAGTTGTCCAGGTTTTTCCAGGTCGGATGAAAAAAAAAAATCCAGGTGCATACAAATTATACACATTATTATTTTTTTTATTTATCCATCTGGAATCCCTTTTATGTACTTATTGATTTGTGTTATTTTCGATTGTTCAAACTTGGGCGTTGGTACTTATAAGTCGGCACAGCAAAAAAGTTATTGAATATTACAGCAGAACAGATGCACATTTACGCACGCTCATCAACATTCAAACAATAAAAGAGCGTCGTGATTTGTCAATGGTTTTATTTGTAAACAATATCGTTACGCTTCGTATTGACTAGAGTAGAACTCTTATCAAAGATATTTATTTACATAGGTACCTTCCATACCTACCATACTGCGAAATCGAAATATATGTATCACAAATCGCCATCTTTCAACTTATGCCATATTTGGTCCACTACATCAAATTATGGCTGTTTACAATAAGCATTGCGAATCTGTTGACATTACAATGACAAAAACCAAATAAAAATATTTTTATTCTAAAAGAAATTTTAACACTCAGCGGCGCAGATAAGGGCCTGGGTTCAATCCCAGTCGGCAACTCCGGGATTTTCTGAGGCATAAAATTTCTGATCATGCCTTCCTTCGGAAGGGAAGTAAAGTTGTTGGTCCCCGGTCCATGAGTTGATGGGTCGATATGGTAGGGTCCAGGTGTGGGAGCAGCCTCCCTGGCGTCGGTAGCATTGGTACTCAGTACGGAAAACAAGATCGACGAAAAACAAATCAAGGGAAAAAAATAACACGTGAAAATGCCCCATAACGAGGGTAGATCACCTTTTCGTGGTACGTTACGGGATGTAAGATCTACCACCGATTCCTAGTCCTGACTACTTCAAACTAGAGGAACAGGATTTTTCAGTAATCAAAGGAACACATCTTAGGCTGTGAACCATTTGCCGAGTTAAATTTAACTCGTAGTTAAAAGCAGTGCTGAGATTTGTCATTGTCACTGACAGACTTTCGCGCGATATTGACTAAATTGTTCGTCACATAGTCATTGACAGACTTGATCCTCAAAAAAACCTTCGGCAAAATCTCATTCATTTTTTCGTCAATGACAAAGATTCGCCAGGTAACAAAAATTGTAATTTAGTACATTGTGTGTCACATTATTGTTATCCAAGTAGCTCAGGACGTAGATACTTATTCACTAAAATGGATCCATGTAATTGTTTTGCTCAAGTCATTTAATTTCGTTAAAAATTTAGCTAATAAATAAATCTGCACATGTTCGTCACTGACAGCATTGTCATTGACAATTGACATGGTTTGCCTTGACTATGACTGCTGGCTCCAATGAGTGACCAAAGCAGAATTGTCAATATCACCGTGTACTGTCGAGATTTTGCAGCACTGGTTAAAAGTGACATCGACCGGTTTTCGAGCCACGGTCGTCAAAATTTAACTTCTTGTCTGTCAGAAATAACCACGCTCGGATAGCAGGGTTAATCGATAACTTTCCATCTGTCAATTTATAACCAAAAGTTAAAATAATCCACCAAATGGTTCAGAGCCTTAGTCCTTGTTACTTTTTATGCCTTGTTGATAGTGACAAGACTCGGCTTTGTCTACCGAGGATGATCTTGAAACAAGGAAAAAAATGAGTTCGTTGTCTTCATCTATGTGATTCCTAATCTTCTATTCGTTGTGCCCTAGTTTGAAGTGGTTAAGACTAGGGTTCTGATGCATGGTCATTATCGGTGTCATACCTTAATTTTATTGCTAAGGAATCCAATTTTGACTGACAAAGGGGCGCGCCTTTGGAGGGTGTTTCAACACTCCGAAGGGTATAAATAGCGGGACCTTTCAATTAGAGTCGGATCCTTGCGATAAATGCAAGAGTGGCAACTGCAAAAAAAATCGAATACTTCATAATTTCTCAATAGTGATGGAGTAATACGACATGCACTAAACTAAGGACACGGGATATACTACAATAGATCAATTTACTGGTCGCAGTAGTGTTAGGTCCCGAACAGAGGAAAAAAAAACACGTGAAAATAGTACACATCATACATATTATTAATAAGACAAAAATTGTAACAAATCAAAACGTCTGATTGACGGCAAAAAATAAATAAAATTGTAGTATTTTGACACTTTAAAGCATTAGCTAGAGAATACAGATGAGAATGCCAAATGAGTTGGGGAGAATTGTAGAGGAAATCTAGGGATATTATATAGGGTTTTTGAGAAAATTTTCAATAGAATTTGACTAGAAATTTCAGGTAATTTTGTGAATTATTTCAAGAAAATTGTATGGGAGCAACAGATGATTTCTAAGGTAGTTCTGAAGACACTATATTGGGATTATAATACAATTCTAGAAAACTTACAACTTAACAACTTTCATCTGAAAAAAAAAATTGAAAAGACAACCAAATTGGTCGTCCCATCACATATGAAGCAAGAGTACGAATCAAACTTAATATGCGATTTGCTCGTCTTGATCATTTTCGCGCTGGAACGGACATGCCAAGAGCGGTAGTAAACATAATTGTCAAACTGCCGAACCCGCAAAATGCGTTTCGTTACTGTGACACAGGACGACTGTCCAGTTGCAACAAGCTTGTTCACATCATCGTCACGCATTTTACAGGTTTGGTATTATGACTGTTAATGATGGTATGACTATTATCCTGAAACTTCTCCTAATGATCACCTACGGCTAAAATCTCTTAAATATTGTTGCACATTGTTGCGAGAATTTTTAAGAAAGAATACAATGATAAATGTAGGTATAGTGAATTTCAAGATTTTTTTTTTGAGGGAATTCCTAGTGTTTTGTAAAGAATTCCTAGACTTTTATGGAGAATAGGGAGTATTCGCTATATTGGACATAATCAAGAAATTATTGAGGTGAATCTTGAAAGTAAAACTAATTCTAATGACCTTTTGTCATGATCCAGCGACAAGTAATTTAATCGAATCTGAACATTATTAAGTCTAAGAAGTCTTCTTAGATATTGAGTAACCTAAATATTCGTCGTTCATCCTCGAAACTAACGTTTTATGGATGAAATTTATGCACAAAAACGAAACGCTAATTACCAAAGCTAACAAGCAAGGTGAAAATAGAGTAACACAGAAACGGGTATGGAGATATACAGGTACTAATAAGTAATGCACGTTCGAAATTTAAACATTGCAAACACACCAAAGCGCTTGTCTTGGGCTGCACACGATGCGCTTGAACTGGTTTCTTCCACTAGCCCAGCATCCGCTGTGAGCTTGATCTTCTGTGTTTTCATTGTTTCTGTACTAATTTCAACAGCCACAAAAAATAACAACACAAGAAAAATGGGAAATATTTCAGCAGCCATAAAAACAACATAACACACAATCTGCTCCTGAGAAAACGTAGGCATCATCATTTTCTTCTGTCTCTTCTTCCTTAAGCCACTTTGACATGTTATTACTCTTCTCTTCTGACCGATGTTCTCTTTTATGTTTCACTTTCACTTCTTGCTTTCGATAGCTTTCTTATGCATTTTTCTAGGCTTATGCCTTCTTCACATGACAAATTTCGTCGCAACTCTTCAGGCACTGATAACACACCGTTAATCCTTACGATAACGAACTGTTATTTCAGGATATTAGCCAAGGATTTGGCATAATCTATGCATGAACAAAACTGATAATTCCACTTAATTTTCAAGCGAAGCGTGAAATCGCGAATAACTGCCGCGATCGGATCCAACCGAACCGAACGAAGATTACTCAAACACTGAGGCGGCGATGAAAATAACGACTAAGGAGAATGACAGCAAAGCAACTTTTCCAGTAAGGCTATTTAAAAACTACGTAACGCAAATTTTACGGGGAAAAAATCAGCCCCTCCCCCCATGGAGATGCATTTTTCATATTGTTGCAAAATTACGGATTTTGTCCCCTCACAGCAGCATTTTTTTTGTCACACCGTGAAATTGGTGAAATTTTTAGAAACGGGTACGTATTTCGGGGTGACGTATTGAATAATCGATTTGTTTACAAGCTTTCCCCTTTGAGATTAACGTGTGAACAAATGTTTTCAACGGTCGAACATTTTCACGATAGTCTAAAACCAAAGCCAAGTACAATACATATGTATGCCTTTTAGCATATGGAGTTATCACAAAACCCGTCCCCTCGAAGAAGTGTTGCGCAATTTGTGCACGGCACCATTCCACGCTCAATACATATCCCACAATGAAGCCTCTCACGCTCACCATCCATCTCCACTGGAATGTTTAATGAGCAAAACTTCTTGACGATCACCGATAGGTGAGCGTAAATGAACATGCATCTGTGTGTGGTGGAAATACATAAAGCATGGATTTGCGCAAAGAATTATATCGCAAATCTATGATCGTTTGAATAATACGTGTATAATGAATGTAAATGATTTTCCATGCCTGGTCAGTACTTAGTAAATTTGAGAGCATTGCAATCGAACAGGAATTCAATCGCCTTTATGATTCGTGTACTTCTCAAATTCATCTTTTTTTCCTTTGGTTTGTTTTTTCCGTCAATCTTGTTTTCCGTGCTGAGCACCAATGCTACCGACGTGCCAGGAAGGCAGCTCTCCCACACCTGGACCCTACCTATCGACCCATCAACTCATGAACCGGGGACCAACGGCTTTCCTTCCCATCCGAAGGAAGGCGTGATCAGAGATGTTATGCCTCAGAACATCCCGACGGCGCCGACTGGGATTGAACCCAGGCCTGCTGGGGTGAGAGGTAATCACGCTTACCACTACACCACCGGCGCCGTTTAGTCTCAAATTCATCTAGTTTTTGGAATTAAAAACAATATTCTAACTCTATTGATTAATTGATCTTAGTTGGTTAATTAATGGCACCAAGAAATGTGTAAAATATTACGATGCACTCAATTATTATTTTGCACATAAATCGAATCAAAAGTAAAGGTAATGTGAAATGCTAGCTTCTAGCAAGAGTTGCAAGATAAATTAGGTACAAATCCCAATACCGAATTGTATTGTGTTTTCTCCGCCCATCTCTCCCTCTAAGTATTTCTAGTCTTCATCAGTGTCATTCCCACTAAAGACTTATCAAAATCTAACCCCCTTAAGTACTCATCCTTTAGGTAAAAATGTCAAGATCACAGGTATAAAAATGAAACTACAACGTGTATAATCGGTTGGTCTTATTATTTAATATTCTGACAGTGTAGCGCACAGTGGTCACCTTGCCGAACAGTAGCAACTGCACTGGGGTCGAATATTCCCCCACCTACCCCAGCATCAGCTTCTTCTTCATTCCTTTATTTAACGTCGGTCTCTGTTTCGCAATCTAGTGCCAATCACCGACGGACATCGATTGCCATCCATTGACGGAAATCGAATGTGCAGCAGAAAGGCAGCTTCCACAAATGCGTAGGATATCACACCCATTCAAACACCATGGGCCGGGACCAACGGATTTACTTCCCTTCTGAAGGAAGACGTGACCAGAGTTTTTATGCCTCAGAAAAATCCCACCGACCTCGGCTGGGATTGAACTCACACCCATTGGGATGAGAAAGCAATCACGCTTACCACTACACCACGGGCGCCGGCTACCCCAGCGTCCGTAAGCAAACAAGTTCATCAGAGCACACCACACGACACCAACCAGCGAATGTGTGGGCCTCCCTTGGGCTCAGTTGGTAAAGGTATAGCTACAAAGCGATTCCCGTTCCGTTAGGTATAGGAATTTTTCGGGTTGGCAAATTTCTCGACTTCTCTGAGAGCATAGAGATTGTTCTTGCCACACAATATATACTAATGTAAAAGTTGTACAGGCTTAGAAAGTTCTCAATTATCAATTGTGGAAGTGATCAAAGAACACTAATTTGAGAGCTGGCGTAAAGTTCCAGTGGGGACGTAATAAAGGCCAAAACATATCAGGGAATGAAAGATTCTCTTGCAGTTTTGTTGTATAATGAACTGAATCTGTAAGGTATCACGGACATGGTCTTCGGAAGACATTTCAAATCATTAAAATAATAAAAAATAATACAAATCCTAGTAAAAATCATAAAAATAAGTAAGAGGACCTGTTTTCTCATGGTAACATGACGACCGTAATATGTACCAGCTCTGGTTACCAGTACTCAGTTATCATAAGAAACGTCTATAATAATGCAAGAAATTCGTGCTTGCCTTTTTTGAATATGGCATTTGATTTACGTGTATATGTAAACCTTAATTTAATTCATAATAAATAGCTGTAGTAATATCGTAATATCCCGGATAAACATTATCATAACATTAAAATACAATACATTCTATTGTAATTGTATTGTACTGGTCAAATGATCAAATTGTCACAATAGGATAGCAATAAATTCTATAGAATTCAACATTTTCTTAACATATGTTATTAAAATTTTGAACAATAAAAAAATAATAAAATTTATTGTTAAGAGATCAAATATGTTTGAGAAAAAATGATTTTAACTAACAACCCCGGTTTTCTAATGTAAAAGTCTTATTTACAATAGATTCTTCTGTACATAACAATAAGTTCCTATGTATTTTATGTATAACGTTTATGGTAGCTACAATATATTTTATTGCATTGTAAAAATAGGTTCTATTGCTTATGCATGGTAAATTTTTATTCGGGCTATGCTGTCGTTAGTTCAGTTGGTTAGGCTCTCAGAATGACACACTTTGCAACACTTGACCCTAAGTGATAATCCAGTTTACTTATTTCAACACACAACTCAATCTATAGCCTCTGCAAACTTGAACCATTTTCTGCACATAACTGTTCTCGGTAAAAAGTTAGTTTTTCTTGAAATATAATAATATCCCTCACGCCTTACACTATGCGAGCTAATTAGTTAACTTCTTAGTTCAACGATAATTCCACCTAATCCTTTCGCTTTCCAACAACAAAGTTTAATCCTGTTTGTTATGTCATCTTTGGTCTGCTATCATTGCAAAATGGGAAGCCTCTAACACGCATAGTAAAGCATTCCTCGACCCACTCACTCTCAATTCACTCAACACGTGAGAGGCCAAGGATAAACTAAATTCCTCGTGGCGACCCTTATTGTTTTAGTCGTTGGTTCCATTTTCGTATGTAATAGAATGGAACAAATTAGTAACCCGTACAACAGTTAGTTAGTTTTCTTTAGCCTCTGCGTACAACAGGCACCAATGGAAAAAAAACTGATTTTTCTACCATTATGCTTCTAAAAAGAAATTATCAAACTAAATCAAGAACAGTTTGCTCAACATATTGAACTGAAGAGCCCTCAACGCATCGAATCGAATAAGAATTATTTTCAAATGGCCTTACCTAGCTTTTTCGAACGTCGAAAGTACCGGCTGCCGCCTGATAGAATTCGGTGTATGTGTATACCTACTTATAGTGGCATATTGCGGTTCATCGTCAGATGCGATGCGATTATTTTCCTTTCCTTGAGAGCTTTTACTGCTGTCAGTAGTTGCTGAACTAGGCACGGGTGGCGCTTGTCGAATAATTTGTTGTCGCTTTTGGCTGGTGCTGCTACCTGACGTCGGACGAGAACTGGCAGCGGGTGGTATCTTTGGTAAAGCTCGATTTGATGAAAATAACCCCCTCTGTTGGAGAAGTGTTCTCCGGGAAGATGAGCTTTCTGGTTTGCTGGCAGTGACAGCTCTTTTCGTGTAGTTCGTTTTATTACGAATGGTTACGTTACTCGACAACGATATCGCTCGACTTTGGCCGGATGTTGCGGACCTCGACTCAGTTTGTATTTCGGACAAAATTGATTTGTTCGATGGAACTCTGCGGATGTGTATTAAAGGAACAGCAGCGTTCAGTTGTGCCGATGTCACGGAAGGGTTTCTTGATACCAATATTTGGTTTAACCTAAAATACATGGAATAGCATTGGAACAAATTTTGTAGACATATCACAATCGAAAAGTTAATACTTTTGTCTATCCTTGGAAATTTTGAATACTGCACCGCGTTGTGTCTTTGATGTTTGAGTTGTCTGAAAATAAAAATAAGGGAAATGGGAAAAAATGATATTATTTATTAATTTATTATCTTTTTTTTCGAGGGTGCTAACTGTACAATTCTGACAGACGGCTGGGTATTATATATATATATATATATATATATATATATATATATATATATATATTAGACTGATGCAAAATTTGACTTTTTCGCTCCACAGTGCTTAAATGGTTTCAAATCGGGTGCTGATTAGCCTCCAAAAGTTACAACTCATTTGGTTAGAAACAGACTTCGCACAAACCATTTGAAGTTTACATGTAAATTACTATGGGAAATCTCAATTTTTTGTTCATTGCCTTCTAGTCTTTTGCCATATTGAGCTGCGAAACAGTTCGATAGCCATTCTTATAGAAAATTTTCTCAGCTACAACTTTGCTCAAGATCATTTCTATGTAAAACGAGACAGGAAAAAGTTATTAATTATTTAAGATATTGGTAAACTTATGACATGATCAAGCAGCTGCTCTGTAGGCAACACTGTATTTTGCAGTGTGACATAGTAGCCATGATTTTTGTGTCCTATTCAACGCCCCAGAAACACCAATGTTGCCTGCTGAACAGTTGATTGAGCATGATCATAAGACATCAGCGCATTGAACCATTGATAACTTTCGATCCTTGCATTTAATCAAAAA